GATAAGTAAAGGCTATGTAAAATAGGTGTAATGCATTTTTTTAAGTTGAGACGGTAAGATTCCGGTGCATCCGATACCTGTTGATACGCAGCCATTGATATGCAGCCTATTATGAGAAGAGAGATGAGAACGCCTTATATAAGGCATGCGAGCAAGCAAATCGTTAATGCTTCATCTTTTCTGCTTGAATCCCAGTAATCGTATAAAGTTAGCGGTTGATTTGCAATTTGAAGTGTAAGAAAAATCCACTGTAACAGTTTAAGCGAAGCATGTCCTAAAAGGACGCTTACTGTAGAATTTCATTTTATCTGGGCATTTTTGTTCACACTTGACCACTTTAGACAACTCTTGCGGTAGATCTTTTTTAACTTCTTTAAATAAGTTAAGCATTTACAGACGGTGAAAATGGTTGAGCCCTTCGTGGAACTGAATTGGAGCCCCCAACTAATGCAGTTGTTCACAGGCCGCTGATTTTTTCAAACGAGTCAGCTACGAGCATTGGTGGTTACCAGCCGATTCACATTATCATCTCTAGCGTTGATCGTTGTGAAATCGTGCATCGGCTGGCATGTAATATCTCGCTTTTTTCTAATGGCACTGACTTCAGAGATCTCAAAGATTCCCTTGCTACCAGAATTTTTGAAACAGTATCTTAGTCGAACTGAACTGACCAGTTTTTATTTGGTTATAAAGAGACATTGTAGATACTTATGACCTCGTACTTGACATAGATAAGTTACAGCTGGTCTACTATACTAGCCGCTTCCAATCGATCGGAAAATAGTTGGTCCCCATTGCATGAATTTCATACAGCCACATATTTGGCCAACTAGCTTATATTTCTGAGTTCGGAAGAATTTACTATACTACATTTATTAAATTTATGCATCTACATCACCTGTGTCATTCCGTTGACATTCGAGTGACCTGGACCTGAGCAGCAACCCAGATTGTTTTCTCACTGTAGGGATTCACTCAGCATCGTAACGATATCATTAGAAGAGCGGAAATAGCGTAATTGGAGGCTGTCGAGTTTCGCTGGCAGGCATGTTATTGCATTCCAATTCTCGCTTGACGTTCTCGAGGGTGGCTGTAAAATAATTCTTGGTGGGATGGTGTCTCCTTGTCGAACCTCATTCTTTACGTCGATGTCATTGTCATTGTGGAATGTCGATATCAGGGTGGTAACGCTGTTATCTACTCCACGAATGATATTTATGTACTCGATAGGGATGCCTTTACTGGCCACAGCTTTCATAACCACTTTTTTAGTTTAAAGGGAAAGTGGAGAAAATTGATACAGATTGGTTTTCATATTACAGTTACTTCAGTGATTGCTGTGGCAAAAAGATCGATAGAAATAGCTGAGAGACGTGCGAAACAAAGGACCCGCATGGTGTGGTGGTGAACGCGTTACTCCCCGGAAAGGATAATAGCGCGTTCGTTCCCCACCATAGACACCTGCGGTCCAGAGTTTTGCAAATATCTCAGCAACGTTGTGGTTGTATTTTGCTTAATAACCTGCCATGAAAATTATAGAAGGCAGAAAACAAAACGTTAAACATTCAGTGAGCTTCACTATCGTATCCGCGCCATGTTGTCTGCCGCACTGAATCCTTTAAGAAACATTCTTGCTCGCATGCTTCTTTTTCGCCTAGTGTTCTGCTAATCCCGTTGAGGGTGATTTGAATGAAGACTTTATAAACGACCGATAGCGAACTGATTGAACGATGACTGCTGATGCTGTGCAGGCCTCATTTTTTTGTGCAGTAATGCCGTCTTGTTGGTCTTCCTCGATTTAAGAGTCTTAAATTCTGAAAATTAATATGAGAACATGGGAAACAGACAGAGTTGAAGGGGACGGGTAGAATGCTTCTAAAATTCCTAGATCAAATCGTATTCGGACTAGGCGTTGTACGATTCCCCATCAACGAGACAACGTCGGATTTAGAGCATGAGAGAGGGCGAGGTGGCATATCTATTTTCGAGCCTTCCACTTGCATTGCACTGGCTTTAAAGCCTTAAACAAGCTGTTCGTATGGTTCATCAATGTTCTGGGTAGCGGTACTTTCCCAAAAGCTGATTAGTGATTTGAGTAAGACCCGATTTACACTAGTTTCGGTGTTCCGTTGCTTAAATTTTACTGCTTTTTCGTGTTTCTGTGAAGAAGGATAAATCTAGCGCGCAGGAGGCAATGGTATGATTCACCGCTAAATTTCGGACAACAGCGACAACAACTAGGCAAAACCTCCGTTTTACCATGTTCTAGTCCATTTCGTTATGGTGTTCTCATTTAGAAACTGCCACGTGTAACGTTGACACCCGGTTTTCTAGAGTTGTGAGTTTCCATACATGCTCTTAGGGGTCGTCATACTCAGCTTAAAACATAGACGGCAGCTCACCTTTTTTGTTCCGTCGTTTCAATTCGCGCGTCTCAGTGTGGCATTCTTTGGACTAACTATTAGATCTAGTCTTAGTGTTGAAATAGCTAATGATGACTTTGGAGAGGACATGGTCTTTTCTGTAAAACTCTCTAAGTTCACATAGAACGATAACACCTTTCCTTCATTGCAGGTTAATGTGGCTGTGCAGCCGACAAAGATTGTGAAACCCGATGCCGGTCTTCGTTTCCTCAAACGTGAGCATTCGATGTTAATGTGATGTTCAAAAAAGAAGTTTATTCAAAGTCAAGCTCATGCTGACGAGAGCGCCGAGTCTGTGACTCCTTCTTTGTTACCACGTGGTTTGAGGAACTATTCTTTTCCGGTGTTATAAATGGCGTTAAATGGGCGGTATTTTCTCGTCCCCGCGAATCCGATGACGTGCCTTACCCCTCCAGCTTGCACGATTTAGTCCTCTATTGTGGACTCAGATCCAAGTGAGCGTGATTATAGGCACAGATTGTCACCCATCTGTTTAAAAGCCGAGAGTATAACCATCTTGCATTCAACACAGTAAAGTTAAGACTAACGATGGTTTTACAAGAAAACAAAAATCCAAAAATTGTTGGAATTGCTAACATTTCATTTTTTGATTGGGGCGGATAGCACAATGGTAGTGATGTCCGTCAATACGAGCATAGTACTAGTTGGATTCCGATCCAGGCCAAGCAAGCCTCTCATCCCTCTCGGGAGGTTGGTAGCGGACTTGTCTGGGAAAAAAATTATATTTGCAATCCAATGGAGAACGCTCCAACCTGGCTTTCTCAGCACTCCAGGGAGAAACGTTCGACCAGCATTCTACGATATTCAAGATGAAATAGATCCTCAAGCAGCAACCGAAGCTACATGTAAAAACTTGGAAGATTTTCGTGGACGATGTATGCGACGAAACGAATTGGATGGGAGAAGTGCTGGGATCCGCACAGTAGACGTGAAGACCGATCAAATAAAATAAAATGAAAATAACTAGAACTTACATTATGTTTTTCTAGCTTTCTCTACTTTTTAATGTTTCCCTATTACTCGATTTTCCTCGTTTTTAAGAATCATATACTTAGTACTAAAGTGTGGTCTTCCAGAACATTCCGAAAGTTAGTCGGACGACAACAACAGAGTCGAACTCACTCAAGTGTAGCATTCGAAAATTCGGCTTACGACGAATTTTCCGATTCTTTGTGAGGTTCCATGCAGACATTCCTCCAGGGTTGGCAGATTGGTATAGAATCTGTCTTGGAAGATAGCAGCGTTGAATCGATGCACCGGTAGATCACCTTGGGTCAATTCACAGATATGCATTCAATCACCTCCGGCGATGGTTAAATGAAGCCAAGTGCATGGCGCATGCTTCAGGGGCTTATCAACACTGGGGGCTTCATGCTTTTTATCCTTTTATCGTCTTTATAACGCCAAGTATCGGCTAGATGGGTGTTCATAAAGGATAGATTTGTCCTTATTTCGAATTTACGCTCAACGGAATAAATATTTTCGAATACTCCAGCTACGTCTGTCTAGGACGTGAAGCCAGCACGATAAGTGACCTAGTTCCAAAGTCCAACACAATGACCTACGTGCATTGTGCGGCAGCTTTAACCGCTGACCTGATTTGTCCTTGAGTATGCATAGGTTTCCTACGAATCGTGATTATGGCTAACTTGTCGTCATTTTCACCTACTTGAAAACCGCTACGATTGGAGTGGAGTGTTCAAATTCGTTCATTTCTACGATGTGGGCTCCCTTAGTTTCATTGAATCGATTTAATGGAGTAGTGAACAGTGCCAAGGCAGAACCAGTTAAGAAGCGTTGTGTATAGAAAGACACTTCCGAATGTGGTTTCTTCATTCTTGCCGCAGACCTTATTGACAATGTTGTTAAGATTCCTTACTGTGGCTCTCTACTATAAAATCACATAGCCACTGGGCTACTTGCATAGTTTAAAAATAATAAAGTGCCAGATTGACTATGGGAAGGCCGTTTTGTTTTCGTAAGTTTGGTAAAATTTAGTGTTAATTCGCTATTATGATTGTCCATAAATAGAAACTGCTCTGTTTTACTCTTTATTTTCCTCCTACTTCATTTTCACGGCAGGGTACTAAGCGAAATACAACCACAATGTTGCTGAGATATTTGCAAAACTCTGGACCGCAGGTGTCTATGCTGGGGAACGAACGCGCTATTGTCCTTTCAGCAACAGAAACTACTCTCTAACATTTCAGTGTTCGATTATCTCCTAGGAAAATCAAGACCAAAGGAATGTCTGAACAACTTCTTTGTGCTTCGCAGTGAACGTTCTTTCTTTTTTCCGGTTTAAAAAATCCAGTTCGTCGCGTTAACCAATCAAGTTTTCCCCTGCGCCATCTTAACCGTACTTGCTCTTTCAAGCCTTCTTCCCGGCCGAAATAAACTAAGAATGTCCGATGTCCATGGCTGACCCAGTTCGCCAATATAAAAGCGTACTTCTCTCGGCGTTCACAGGTATAGTTTTCACCATTTTTGTTTTTTCAATTTACCTAAAAGCTTAGCTAATGCAGTTGTTGTATCTTCACTAGTTTCACTTTCCAGATGAAAGTTCAAACGTTAACTTTTGTCGCCTCTTCTGTTTCTGCCATTACTCTAGTAGCCTGCTTGGTGTCGATGTTTTCCATATATTCAGATGTGGCTCGTTTCTGGATTGAACTTGAGGAGGAAATTAGCACATTTCGGGTGAGGCAAACATCATATAATAACCACTAACCGGCTGAGAAACACTTCGTGATAGAAGATCTGCCGATTATATATACATTTTGATATATATTTGCGCATGTATATATATATATATATATATTGTATGCATCTGCTTAATCAATGCAAGTGCTAATTGCATTGCTAGATTTCGAATTTTAGCTTCAAAAAAGAAAATAATATTTTTCCCTTCTCACTGACAAATACTGTCCTTTAGGTGACGACTAACGACCTCTGGAAAGACATCGTAAGCATTGGCTCGATTAAACGAGTTCGTAGAGAGCAGCAGGAAACTGAAGCCCCCTCAAACACTTCGGCCGATGGACCACCTTCAATACCTTATGGTAAACCACCTTCAACACCTACATTCGCACAACAGTCAGGTCCAAACGGCCCTGGTTCCCAGTGTGCCTGTAAAGCCGACAATAAATGCCCATCCGGTCCACCAGGGGCAAAGGGAATACCTGGCACTCCTGGTCCGGATGGATATCCTGGGCTTGATGGAAAGCCCGGAATTGACTCTGAGGATGTGGCTCCTCAACGTGATACCGTCGGCTGTTTCTATTGCCCCTTAGGACCACCAGGTCCTCCGGGTGCGCTAGGACGACCGGGACCACGAGGACTTGCTGGACCAAAAGGCCACAACGGCAATCCTGGAAGGGATGGAATACCAGGACATCCTGGAGAGCAAGGTCCATCGGGTCCCACCGGCAAGATTGGAGAACCAGGACCTCCAGGAGAAAAAGGAAGAGACGCCGAACACCCTGTCGGTCGCCCTGGACCAAAAGGACCGCGCGGAGATCCAGGTCTACCTGGACCACAAGGACTTAATGGACTGAACGGGCCGCCGGGTGAGCCGGGTCCCATTGGACCACCGGGTCCAGTTGGAAACCCTGGCCCAAGGGGTTCAGAGGGCGAAATCGGTGAGGAAGGTCCAGAAGGACGACCAGGTAAGGACGCCGAGTACTGTCCGTGTCCTGATCGTGTTCACGATAATGATGTTGCAAAAGGGTACAAAACGCTTTAAATAAGTTGCAGACTCAAATGAAAAATTTTCTTCGTATTGCGTTGTCCACGGGATTTAATTTGAAATCATATTTAAGCTTCCTTTTGTAGAATGAGTTCAGTTCAAGCAAAAGATGTTGGACTCAAATTTTCAAAAATTTCACGTTGATTTGTTAAAACTTGCGTAGAATATAGTTCTGTTCTAAGGACGAAACGTTTCAGAAATGAATAACAGAATTTGTTTGGCTCGGTTGGAGCTCGTTTGAGAAAGAAATCGAGTCACAAAATTAGTCTAAGCGGAAATGTAAAGAAACAACTAAAATTTCAACGATACGATGCGATCACATGGGAAATATTGTTATAGCATCACTCGGAAGATCGAGTTCTACCTAACCTCGACATGAATACTCAATGACACCTAAAGAACTGCCCTTCTTTAAGTCTCCAAAAAAGGTTCGCGGGTTCGAAATTCACCTGATATTTCCAGTTCGGCTCGTATCTCAGCGTCTTGTATTTCACGCTACAATATGTCATAAAAAAAATAAACAGCAAATGAAACATAAAACACTGTGATGGAAAGCCTATCATTTATGCCCGCAGATGGTAAGGTCACCAGTACGTTGTACACATACTATTAGCAATGAGCCATATATATTGAGACCATAAAATCAGTCTGAGATAGGGCTCCATATCACCTGTGATAGCAAGACACTGTTCCTTTCTCTTTGTTTTTGATTTCTGAAACTTATAGAAAAGGTGTCAAGGGTTTTGCAAGCTGCCATTTTTGATTTCTGCTTGAGGACTGTGATAATCACTTCAAAGTCGTTATCGCTTTGCCCCTAAGTGGTGGAGTTTTCAACATTCCTTCTTGATATTCTTCTGTGCGAAAACGAACTGGCCTACTCGATTCGCCAGTGCATTCAATACAGCATGTCTTACTAAGCATTGCTATACCTGAACTCATGCAGTTTCCGTCTCTACTATTAGGACAAATCACGCAATCCTCTACTGTAAAGATACGGTCATGCAGGGAGTTCCGAACCAATTGATGACGTGAAGTACTAGGTGGAATTTCGATATTTGTCACTGAGTTTCTGGGGCACCTTTTCCAGGCCTCTTTTAATAACGATTCTTACATTGTTTGATACGAATGGAAGCTGTAGAGGAATCTTCCTACTTAGCTTTGTGATAGTGTTGTTTTCGTAATGGAGTTTAGCTCAACTTTTTGACCTCGTCTCAGTGGCCGTTGTATCGTAGCCATTTGAGATGGTTAGGTGTCGTGCCAAGTGTAGTAAATCCTGTCTCCTGTGCAAACGTTTTTTGCTTTCGCTATATGTTTCGAAGAAGTGCATTTTTCGTGTGTGAGAGATTTGAATAGAGGTAGCGCATTGGCATATTTTAATTGCTTGGATGCCATTTTTTAGTGTAGTCCTTTTCGGAAAGGTGCAATTGAATGTTTGAGAACGCAAGTCTGTATTCCTTAGGTGTTTCTCCCGATAACGTCATACACTCTTGCTGATCATTCAAGATTTCAAAATACTTGCTCATCTCATCTTGCCCAAACCAGATGGCAAAACAATCATTTATGTATCAACATTAAAGTAAAGGACAACGATTGAGAATTAGGGATGCCACCTTAGATACGAAGGCAATGGCGAGGCTTGCCCTAGTTGTTGTTCTTTCGTCAGCCCTCTGATTTGCGCGTAATATCTTTCGGACCGTGTGAAAATCGAACAGTTCTTTTAAAAGAGCCATGAGTTGCTCAATACACCCGCTATGCATATTTACTTTACTTTTATTTTTTATGAGAAGCTAGTAAATGGCTTCTATTGTGGCGTCATTCGAGACGCTTGTGTAAAGTCCGGTAGCATCGAATGGTTCCACTGCATACGTGTGATTTGCTTGTGCGCAAAGTAGATAGTTTAGAGAAATTTGCTGTTAGGGAGACGAGTATAGACGAATTTTAGTGACTGCCTGAAGATAAGTCTTAGAAACAATGTTATCTTCGTCGTTGGTACATCTTCACAACTAATAAATGGTTTAACCCTGAATGTTGAAGGATCTGCAGTCAAAGGGTCATCATACAGGTGACTTTGTGCGCTCTAAGAAGTTAGTATAGGACGGAAAAAAGTTGGGAAATGATTTTTAAGCCGATAGACAGCTGATGTCTCTAAACGAGCCGTCATTCTCGTTTTGGCCGATTCTGTTTACCTTGCAAATCCAAGAATGGAAAGAAAGGGTGGAACCTTGAGTGTAACATATGATATGGTGTCTTATCTCAGATTGATTTTCTGATCTGAGCAAAGTTCATTGCTCCTAGTGTGAAGAACACACAGGTGACGTCACTCCATCTAGGAAGTTAAACGGTGGGTTCCCCTAATAAATAGGGGTTTGGTTTGGTCCCAAGACTAGATTTTCGCTTGAATTAAAAATTATCAACTGGATAATAAAATCTAGTATGGTATTGTAGCACGTCTCTGTGGAAGGTGAAATCGTCGAAACATCACCCATCGTGTTTGAAAAAGAAAGCCAACCTCGCGAAAGCCTTACAGTCAAGCATTCGCGCAAGCACCAACAGCGCAATTCTTAAGACGTGCTACAATTTTTCACGGCAGGGTATGAAGTGAATTGCAACCACAATGATGCTGAGATATTCGCAAAAACATGGACACCTAGGCCAAATCCAACCACAATTTCTCTTTCCGGAGGCTCGCGCATTACACACTGTGCCATGGAGGTGCTTGCTCTTTGTTTTTCTCAGTGTCTAATGCGCGAGCCCCTAGAAAAGGAAGCCGTGGTTCGATCTGGCCCAGGGTCCACGTTTTGCGAATATCTCAGCATCATTGTGGTTGTAACACAGTTCATATCCTGCCGTGAAGAATTATAGTAGGCAGAAAACAAAACGCTAACATCGTGATTTGGAGTGCAGCTTCAGCTTAACTGGGTTCAACGCCGATTTGTGCTCCACAGATCAATCCCGCTGGCAGGTGATTGCTGATGGCTGCGCTATTGTAGTACAGCTTTAAAAGTCTTCCGAACAAATCAGCTTGCAGATTTCAACTTTTTTCACTAGGAAACTTAAATTTATTGAAATACTTTCGAAAGCGTTAACATCTAGAAAGATACCCGAAGCCTTCGTCGAGTAAAAAAGCGTTGTTTATGCGGTACGTGAAGAAGGCCTTTTCTACGTTGTTTGTTTCTTTTTCTGCTGCTTTTAAAAGATCTCCATTTAAACGAGTTCACAGCATGTAAAACCAATGGGCAATAGTGCTAGTTGAGCTTATTGCGATTTTTATGAGTTAGGAAACAGGAAATCCTGTCATGAAACAAAACTCCTAGCTGTAAACGTGCAGTGTCACTGAGGAGTCACATGTGACAACTCTATAAGTCATTCATTCAATGAAGACCTCGGTGCCGTTGAATTTAAAACAATTGAAAGCTTACGCTGAATAAGATCCGACACATCCGAAAAAACACATCAAGGAAAAGATTATTTCAAGCATGAACACCCATTGTGGGGAATTAAGAACGGCGGCCCTATGACCCTCATTGACTGCTGGAGCAAAGGATAGAACCGTGCCGTAAACCGGCACTGCTTAGAAAGTAACCGTCAAAGGACACTAGTCTAAAGCTGGAAGGCTACAGCTGGCAGAGATTTCAAGTAGGTACAGATTAAAGCTTTTAACATGAAAAGATGCAAAAAATGTGTTCGGCACTCCAGAGTTTTTCATGATATCCACTATTCGTCATATCAGTTTAAGGGAAAGTAAGAATCTTTTATAAAATAGGTGTTGCTGATGGTTCTCTCGACTATTGTATAAATACATATATAATATTGGTGTAGTGGCATTACACAACCACCTAAATTAGTTCGCTTTTTTGACTGATTCACAATGTGTATCCTTTAAAGGCAAAACAAGTACGATCTATGTCGAGACAGCTGAGAAAGTAGGATGTATTGAAGTCATCACGAGAGCGATAACACTGTTTGGAAAGCGTCCTCAAGGGTTACGCTCACGTCCTCAGTGTCGATCATGCAAGTGCGATAAATGTGAACTGTCGACTCATCCCTTCCCATCAAACACTTCCGAGCTAAATTCTCGATAAAGTCCATTCCATCCTCGACTGAGGTCCCTGGAATAATCGTTTCTTCAAAAAATTTCGCGAATGAGTTTAAAATGTCTGATTATTGCAACCGTTAGTCGTTTCTTCCCTAATGCATAAGTTTTTTAAGCACAATTCTTAGAAAAGTCATAAACTCCACTTAATCCCATCCAAAATTAAAGTACATAGAACGCAAGAGATAAACGGAGCTAACAATCGCACAAACGGCACATGTGGCGCAGTGGTCGGAGGCGCCCTGCAACACACAAGTGGAATTGATCCACCCACCCATGACCCACCAAGCCTTTCGTCATTCCGAGGTCGACAAATTGGTACCAGACTTGTCTGGGAGAATAACAGCAATGGCTCGATACATCGGTAGGCCACTGTGAGCCATTGTAAAGGCCAGATATGCATTCAGTCACCTCTAAACGATGCTTAATGAAGCCGAGTGCATGGTGCATCCCTCAGAGATTGATCAATGCCGGGAGTTTTGTCCTTTTATCCTCTAACAATCACACTCATGGTTTTGGCTGTTGGAATTACGACAACACTTAACAGCTTACTAACAGCTTAAATAGCCGATCAACAAGAAGGATATTAACAATGCAACAAACTAAGTTGGATTTTACCCGAACAAATCTTGTAAACTCTCAACGTTGAAGGTTGGACTATCATGAGCTGTGTAGACGAATCCATGGAAATATTTCGGTTTTTTAATCTAATACTAATCCAGTTGCTAAAAAATATCTCAGACCAGACCATCTAAAGAATATCCAAATGTTCCTCGATCGTCTACGTAACGCGCAACCTGACAGCGCTTACGTGATCGAGTCGTTCGACTTTAGCGCCACTTGTCGAATGACTTCTTTGCAACGCAGGTAATTCATAATCTCCTTATGTAACGCGAAGAAGAAATAAACATACATGACACCTCAGTCTAGTAAATTATATCCCCCTTAACGGAGAGTCTAAACTGCTGAATCCTCGGACGATCCGGAAAACATTACTCACAAATGAAACGGTTAACAATCGGACAGCGCATGACACTAAACATTGCCATTGGTTTCATGTCTAGAGTTGGAGTACCTATAATCGATCACTAGCCACTACTCCACTGCAAGGATATGGACGACTGTTTTATCATCTGTTGAATAGAAGAGGGGATACACAAATGCTTTGAATTGCTAAACTAACAGTCAGAGTACACAAATTTCACCGCAAAGAAACCGAAGAAAGAATGACCTCCGTTTTTGAACGTTCAAATCAACCGCTCCAAAAACGGCACGCTACCAAATAGTATCGAAAGCGAAATAATAAAAACATATTGACTCATTATCTCTTCTGTTAGCCCTCGTACACTAAAGAGGCATTTGTGAGAAACATGTTTCGTGCAGCCGCCAGTGTGTGCACAGGGAGACAGTGGAACGAAGAATTTCTGGAATTGGCTAGAAAAATAGCCATTTTTAATGGCTACGGTGCGGTAGCTACTCGGTATAGGTTTACGAGAAAAACAAGCCCCAAAACGACGAGTCTAATGAAAATAGCATGCAGATAATGTATCAGTTCGTTTGTGGAATACAGGTCTTCGAGTCAGTCTTCGGAATAGAATAGTAGCTCGAAATCGAATGCTCAGCTTTGCACAGATTTAGTTCGTTACCTCGTGTGACTTTTGACGCTGCTACAGAGCACAACATATTAGAAGTGTGAAGATATCCAGTAAAGAATAAATGGGCCAAGGTAGCCAAGAAGCAATTTGCAGGATGAGGAAGGATAATTACCAGTGAACAGTTAATATTGGAATCACACGATAATTTAGAGAACAGAAATTATTCAAGAAATAGCTACTATAAGGAATTCAGCAACAGTGATTGAAATACCACCGAACACTCTAAGACACCATCTAGTCCGTAACCACCTGCACGATTATCGATGCAAAACTCTCAACTGCATAATTTGCGCTAATGGGCAACACTGTGAAAACATGAGCATAGGTGCGGTATACCATGTTATACAAAATACTCCACTAGGCACACATAGGGCATACAAACACTCGGCGCACGAAAATCTTGAAGCGTTCTAGATAAACTCCAAAAATCCAAAAATGAACCTCAAAGAGAAGTGTGTTGCAATCACGCGCGATATCGCGCTATATGTCAGATCGATTTCTCGGTCAGAGCCAGGCACATTTCTCATCCATGTGAGACCGGTGCGGCTGGTCTCCAATAATAATTGGACGACCAATGAACGATAAAGCAATGAGCATTCCTTCATTGACAAGCTAACAGGAGGTTGATAAAGAACTTTATTCAGTCGTTTTGGCGCCTTCGTCTTACCCAGAGCCGATGGTCCGAGTTGATGTCCACAACCCTTCGTAATGCTCTTCGGTTAAGCGCCACTCGAATGAGGCAGCCTCAGCCATCACTCATTGACAATCGGTATCATCATTTACTGTCTTGTATAAAGGAACAGCACCAGCTGAAGTTGCCGAGCGGCGCTCCACTGAAGAAGATTCAACTCGGTACTACCACGAAGGCATCACATCGAGAGTACGAACGACTGTGGATATCGACTCAGATCATCGGCTTTGAGGAAGATGAAGACGTCGAAATATTAGCCGAATAAACTCATTTATAAACCTCGTTCTAGATTATCAATGAAAAAATGCTTGTTCATTAGTCATTGAGGTTAAGGGAAAGTCGGTTTGTGAAAAAAAGTGAGTGTTTAAAAGAAGATGTTCGCTATTCGAATAAGCATTGAGTTCCAACTGCTGAGGTTGTAAAAGTGTTGGACTGAGTGAACTGCTTATTGATCTGACTCTTACAGGTTCTGAAGGGAACGAAACCACCGAAACGTTCGCTATTTTGAATGGATAAATGCTGTAATAACAACCCGTGTTTGCTTATCAAGAAAACGGTGAATTGTTGTTCAATGCCGAGGTTAAAAGAAAGTAGGACCTGGGAGTTATTGTTAAACTACCTATCAATAATAGCGAACGTTTCGACTTTGCCCTCTTCACATCCTGGAAAGATCCAACCAATACAGCTAGCTCAGCCAGATACCTTGATAACCTCAAGTGAAAAACCTAAATTATCAACCGAATTGGATAGGAAATATTTTCTTCGCACACTCACCGCTTTCCATGATTGTTCCAATGAGTATTCAACGTGGAGACCAACCTTGTACAGCTCATACGGAAAGGCGGAAAGGTAAGAAGTCACTCTCACGTTAAAATATCAGTCTGAGATGTTGTATGAGATCTCGCGTAACAATGAGTCCATTCTGTGGTTCTCTCCGTGGTTCATTTCTGGATTCTTCGAACTTATCCAGAATCCTTCGAGACTTTTACAAGCCGAATTTTTAGATTCCTGGGCGAGGATGGTGGCTTCTACTTCAAAAGTTTTCCCGTTATATGCTTGTATCAACGTGTCTCATTGTCAATCAATAAATTAAAGCCACATGCGAATACAACTGAATTGAGATTAGTCGTACTGCTAGAATTTCGTTAGATCTACTAGAAATAGATGGCATGTATGAAACTACTGTGCATTACCCAAAAAAGCTTTACCTACACTTTATTACCGATTTCCTGTCTGCTATCCGAAAAGTTCGTGATTTTTTAATGGATGATAGAAGGGGACCACTGGTACGGCTGCAGCTGTAGAGATCTTCTAGCTTGAGCTCGGAACGCGCCACTTAGCAATCAAGGCAAAGTCATTGTTTCCGCCTACCAGATTCCATCAAAGAATCCAGTGAGAAGGAGACAATGTTAGTGATTAGAGATGCCATGCAATGCACACGTTATTATCAGCTCTATTCCAAGACCCGAGCGAACTAAGTCTTCCATCTCTCCAGGGTCGTCAAATTGACAACGATTGTTTGGTTGGATAAAAGCACTGCTACATGAGATATAGATCACCTCAAGATATTCTATAGTTCAAAAAGGCAATATATTGCCTTTACATTGCTAACAATTTGGTTGAATGCATGGAGGCCTCTTAAAAGTTTGATCAAATCCAAACATGTTATCTCTTTTACCCTTCATTATAGTACAGAATTTTCAGGAATCATATTTTACGATATTTTTGATGATTGTAACATCACTATGATCGGTACTGGTATGAAGTGAAATAATCAGACGGCAAATATACTGCGATTCTATTAGACGAACCTTTGTAGTCCGGAAGATAACTCTCAAGTGGAATAACGGGCAGTTTTTCCCGAAAAACATCAATTTCGTTCAGAAAGAGCAGTAGTGGAGTATTCTTGAACTTCGGCTCGTTGCTGATTTTCTCTAACAACGAAAGTGAATCTTGTAGGCGATTCTGAAAAGTAGATAGATTGACCGCTAATCGTTAATGAGTTCATGTTAATCATCTGACAGTGGAAAAGCAGATACTTAAACTTTTCGTCACATAGAGGTGACAGATAGAAACGGTGACTTAAGCGCTATAAATAGTTTTCGTAAGACAAACCACTTTATTAGGGCTACTAGTACTTTGCAAATTCGTTAACGGTGTGCATAAAAAATTATTCTGCACAATATTACGACGGGTAACTGAAACACTGTTCGGCGAATTGCAGAGGACACATATTGTTAATATTTGAACGGGGCAGATAATAAATTGAACTTGGGTCGCATGAATAAAGGCAATACCTAAATGTAAGAGAACCGAATAATGACAGAACAATGCGACATATTGAAAGGAGCATAATAGTAGACAGTAAATTTCTGTGATAGGATATAATGGATAACGCTGTCGGCGTTGATCATTCCTTGAAAGATGCACCATGAATTCGATTTTATCAACCATCGTTAGAGGTGACGAATGCGTACCTGACCTATGCAATGGCTCGCGGTGGCGTACCGATGTTTGGAATCGGTGCCGCTATCCTTCCAGATAGGTCCGGTAACAACTTGCCGGCACCGGATGGATGGAAGGATTGATGAGCCAGCAGCGCAGGATCGATCTCATGTGTACTGCAAGGTGCCTCTAACCATTGCGTTACACGCGCCCCTTATGATAGGGCACATCGAATCAAATATATATTTCAATTTATGCTAGATTTTCAGGGTCTACGACTGCAGTGCAGTGCAGTGATGAGCCACAACTTTCCTAAAATAAATCCATTGTCATTGGTTCGAATCCCACTTATTAATCAAGTCCTTCATCCTTCTAGGATAGCCAATTGGTAATGCTCATAACCGAGCTTAACGGAAAGCTGGTCATGGAAATTACTGACACAATACATCAGCAGCTATCGCAGGCATTTCATAGTTCAAATTCGTATCCAATCTTTTATATGACACTTGAAGGCGAATGCATGGCAAATCCCTGAGAGATTGATCAACACTGAACGCTCTGTTGTAAACCACCCATGTAATGAGATTCTACCAATTGTTAGTCAACGAATAGTCGGTAGAGGAGTGTACGAGCGACCATACATCGATGTTTTGAACGGTGAGCATCACACTATGTGACGTTGAACAATTTAACAACAAAGAAGAACTAGCTCAAAGAGATTTACAACGAACACTCTGCACTTGCCAATACCAATCAGACTCTTCAAAAAAAATGATTGGTTCGAATTGGAACAAACCATAACAGAATAATGGGGAATAATCAACCTTCTGCTTCATTCACAGAGATAACACGAGCTTGTTGTAAGAATGTGGGAAGTGCGATGATAGCCACACTACTAGCACAACATGGAAAGAGCTACAATTTCCAAGAAGGAAATAAAAACGAGAGAAAAGGTTACCGTTTCAGGGTCTTCGACCATCACTTGATCGTATTCAGAAATTGCAATACAGAAGAATATGGCATCGATTCCATCGTACATTGTCGCCCATTTCCTTCGGTCGATTCGTTGACCACCAATGTCGAACAACCTCAACATCGAATCACTCTCTAATCCAGGACTTACTGTCGTCAGTTTCAAAGTGTGCACGGTGTTATTCAAGAATTCTTAAGTTTAGCGAATAATGCTAGCTTTCGGTCGTCTTGGATAGCGTATTCTATTTCTCTAGTTGGCCACATATTCGGTGCTTCTCTATCAAAGAACTGCTAACTCGTCAAGGAATAAAGCGCAGCATTATTCTATCGTAGAATTCAAACACTTATGTGAAGAGTTTACGTGTCAAATGGTTTTTATAACATGCAACATTTTGAATGGTACCACAGCTTTGATATTACAGCCATACGGTAAGTGTAACTGGTTTTTGTTTAACACATTGATGACCAAACGCGATTACTCGTCGAGGAAATGGAGCGCTTGAAGGTTTGAAGACTTAATAAAACTGTAGAGGAAACTTTGACTTATTGTACTGTAATTTTTCTTGACCATTACCTACACCTTAATCTTTTGAGTTTAATTCCAACAAAAATGTTATCAGGCTAAAAAAACTTACATGAGCGCAGTTGCTGTTAATAAAGCTACCGAAGTTGATCAATCGCTGCGGCATGCGCCATGCATTCGACTTCATTAAGCATCGTTGTGTGATTGGATATTATCAAAATTCAAAAATGTATCTGACCTACACAACGACTCGCAGTGGCCTACCGACGTATTTAATCAGTGCTGTTGTCCTCCTAGAGAAGTCCGGTACCAATTTGCTGACCTGGGAGGAGTTGAAGGCCTGGTTAACATGAGGCGCGGGATCGGTCCCATGTGTATAGCAGGGCCCCCATAACCACTGCGCTACACGCGCCCTTTGCTGTTAATCGCAACGACGAATTCAAAGACATGATCGGTTCCGCTTGTTCCAACTCATTTAGACATACGTGCTATGACGACAGAAAATAGAAAAATTAAAAGAATCGTGAGCTATAGAAGTGCAGAAATTCATCATTTTAGGAAGGAACATCGTGTTCTTTGGACAAAGACTAGATGAAAGTTGGTTTTTTAAAATAGAAAATGGCCTAAAAACCGACATCTATTGAGTCTCGGTAACAATGATCAATAATTTAGAATGATCCTATTTACAGTTCACTGTCGAAGACATGCTTGTTCTAATTGTTTTATTCCAATTAGTAAAGACCGCTACAGGGTGAGCTGAGTGTGTTTGAAGCCGAAAGCGGGAAATTATTATCGACCAGGTGTGAATTACATTTGAATCACACAAGATTAAAGTGTTCATGAGATAAGAGATTCATACTTATTTAATTAATGGAAGGCCTTTCTTAATAAGAGTCATGCCAAGCCACTGTGCTATTCAACTAGCTGGTAATGCCGGGTTGCTAATACCACCCAATAGACACCGCTACGGCTTTATCTGGGCAGGCATGAAACATTTAGAAAAGCTAGATTAATTTTTTAAGCCCTTAAACTGATAAAACATTTAATAGCTTGCAATAAAATTTATGTATGCAGAGAGAGTGTGTAGCATAATAGATAAAAATGCCACGCGACGCATATGTTTACGAGTTCGATCTTCTAGGACTAAGCAAATCCACATTCTTTCCAGGTTCGGCAAAATCGTAACAGGCATATTTTTTGTACTGCATTTACGCAAAAGGAATTACAATACCTGTGTAGTGAAAATCTCGGTACACTACGATTACGCTTCGGTGGAAATGCATGCGTAGTTGGTGTCACGTTGTGCAGTTGTCTTCAGCACGTAGAAATTGATGTATCCAGTGCTGCGATACTAATTCAGAAGTATTTCGATGCTTTTCTAGGTGTAGTGGCATATAGGAGAGCAAAAATAACACCAGAACCACATTCTTCTTTTCAGAACGAATCCAAATTCTCGTCTGATAACAGTCGTGAGAAACCTAGGAGAATATGGTCTGGTTTTGTCAACGAAAGCAATTCACTCCTGATTTCATCTTGATAAATCTACTGTAGTGGTAGCGATGTCGATTATCGCGACCGCACTACCGTATTCGACGTCATACTGAGCTCACCAACCCTCTCATGCTTCAGTGAACGGTAAATTGGTACCATATTTCTCTGAAAAAGTTTACTCCGGAATCTAACTGGGCTATCTCAAGACTTCAAGAAGGAGCTCAACCAGTATTCACAGAAGTTCACCACGAAAAGAAAGCCTTCATGCGGCAATTGAACCCACGCCCAAAAAAAAGATCGTCGTGAATGTTGGATACGAAGAAATGGATAGAATACGAAGTACGAAGCGCTGGAAACTGCATAGCTGATGTGAAAGACAGGTTATATGTAAATTAAATATTAAAATGTGTTCCTGCTAAAAATATTCCGACTGCTGCAGAATGAATTGCAGCCATGATGACGAATCAAAATGAATGGCAATATATCCACAGCTGCCCTGTATAAAAAGGCACGACTGAGTGAAGATACCCTATTGGAAAGGTGTTCCATTCCAATTGATTCGACACGACGCGACGACGAAGACATGACGACGACGACCGGCTGTGGGCATTCGGTTCCATAAATTGCAGCCTTGACAAGTGTAGGAGCATAAACATTAGCCGTATAATAATAGTTTTACAACAACTTCGTACTACCTCATTACTCCTCCGAAAATGACTACTCTTGCAGAGATTTGATGATATTCAAATTTCAGCCGTGAATTCTATGGTGACGTATTCGCTTAAACTTCATTTAACCATCTTCTTCGTTGATCAAGAAACTCTCAACCGAAAAACAACTGGTGCGTTGGCGCCGTAGTATATTTCCATAACAAATTACACTGTAAAAAAAAGGATAAAGCTCTTAGCGTTGATCAATTCCTGAGCGATGCGCTAAGCGTTCCACTTCATTAAGCATCGTTTGGAGGTAATTGAATGCATATCTGGCCTTTACAATGACTCGCCGTGGCTTACCGATGTATCGAGGCAGTGCTGCTATTCTCCCTGAAAAGTCTCGTACCAATTTGCCGACCCGGAAGGATGGAAGGATTGGCAGGTCATGGGAGCGGGATCGATTCCACATGTGTGTTGCAGGGCGGCGATTAACCAGTGGACCACACGAGTCCTTACAAGAAATAGTATTACGATGGAGAAATTAGCCAAGGCAAAGCAAACTACAGCACTAATCATTACCCAGAAATGTGCAACTTTACAAGCAAAGACAAGAGTATAGACTTCTTCATAATGTTTTCTCCAAACCTACTTTTCGTTAAAACCCCAGTTTCACTGATTTTATGAACAGCATTTGAATATAACGTGAAGAAGACTAACTTTTGAAGTAAGCTCATCAAAGAAAGAATACATATTGATTAGTGATACCGAGGTTCATGGAATGTCGGTTTCGAAATATTACTACGCTTTGTGCTAGCTGATAACAACACCGACTTCTGCACGATGTGCGCAATGATGTATGTCCGGAAGAAAAACAAGTTGTTATCACCAGACATTATCATTATATCGACCATCAGCATTGTGTATAAAAGTGCTCATTGTGTGTGAGTGAGGATGCCTCATTCGAGGAGATGGCTCACTGAAGAAGACCTGACTCGACACGAAGGCGAAGCTGCCACGTCGAGACGAATAACAAGCGAGGACCATCGACTCGGATCATCGGCTCTGAGGAAGACGAAGACGTCGAAACGTTAGCCGAAAATAAACATCATTGTCAACCTCGTGTAAGCTCATCAAAGAAAGAATACATACTAACTTTTGAGTTTATTTGTATTGTATTGAAGCTTAAAGGAATTCGATTACTTAAAATATGATATATCAGGTTTTTAAAGAAGTCGTTATGCAATATATGAATTTTTAACATCTCGGCAAGCACCTATGGGCAATGAGCCGGGCAATCAAGTCCTCTCGCTAATTTTCAAGTCGTTTGCTCTAAAGTGCTCGGAAATTTGCCGCACAGACGATATGAGATGGAATAATTTCCTAATAGAAATCATATCTTTTCTTCGTATTTTTGTTGAGCAAACGCGAGGTGTTACTATTCTTTGTTCACGATTAAGCTGACGTTTCGGCGGATTTCGCCTTCCTCAGAGCCGCTTTCTATGAGGTTTCCACTAAGTATGTCACGTAGACACCAACCGCATAGAAATCACGTGGAAGTATAATGTTCAGTATAATGTTTATATCTTTTCTGTTCAGAAATCATTATTTTTTGTTCTTCTAGTACAATTACGTGGATAAAATAACTAGCACAGTTGGTGCTAAATGAGAACGCTTTTGCATGACCGTATCCGGACTCTTGGGGAAATCGACTCGACCAACATTCAGCGACGGCGAAATGGGAAATCGCTCAGGTGCAGCAGAACCTATTCTTGGAAAGTCCAAAAACATTAATGAATAATGGATGGGAGTAAACGAATCCAGTACAAGAAGGATGGGATCCGCATAGCAGATGTGGAACACGGGTCATGTAAAAAAGAAGGTAGTAATTTGTTTGTCAACAGTTAAATTCTCGTTGCTATTAGCGACTATGATTGCGACCCCACTCGTACCTGAATACACAGCTGGCTGCTGTAACGAAGGATACTGTACCAAATTGATTGATTTCAAATTAGTTGGAATTACAAAAAAAAAATCAGTTTGAAAACCCACCTAAAGGATATTAGCGAGAAAAAGTTACAACGGTTTTTAAGTTATACGTCTAAACAACGAATGAAATGAAAAATTTCGAAAGCATTGCAGTGGAAGGTTTTCCTCTTCGAAAAAAGACGCTTGTTGATTTCTATAGATGCTGTGGATCAGAAGCAGACTAGAATCACGCCTGATACTAACCGGTAGCAGAGTATTTTCAAAAGCCGACTTACTGAAAGACTCTATTCCCTGCTGAGAATATGACATTCTGCACACCAACGGTCGGCACATAGCTCATTATCAAGTCGCGTGGAGTCGGTGTGAAATCCAAGCGATTGATGTTGGAGAGATTTTCCAGGAAGCTGAAATATTGGAAACTGCTCAATAGTTACCCGATTTTCTAAAGCATTTTTTGATTAAAATGTGTGATATGTAAAACTCCCTCTTTCCTACCAATTCCAGTTAACTTTCACTGTTACGATTCATTCTTAATTTGCAAGGACAAAACACATGAGGCACAATTACCAGGACCGGTTTTTTACTAACTCAATAAGACGGTGTTTACTTTTTATTTTCTGCCTTGCATATCTAGCCTTTACAATGACTCACGGTGACCTACCGATTAATCGAGTCAGTGCTGCTATCTTCCCAGACAAGTCTGGTACCAATTTGCCGACCCCGGAAGGATGGATCCCACGTATCTGTTGCAGGGCGCCTCCGACCACTGCGCCATACGCGTCCTTATGTATATATACATCTATATGCTTGTAGTGTAATCGTTAGATTTGTCTTGCAGTATGTATATAGTACATATCCTATATATATAGGATCAATCCTACACTAAGGTCTCACAAAATCTTCCATCTTTTCCGGTCGTCAAATTGCTACCAGACTTGTCTGGGAGGATAGCAGCACTGACTCGACAAGTCGTTACACAGTGAGTCGTTATATAGGCCAGATATACATTTAATCATCACCTCCAACGATGCTAAGCGAAGTCTGATGCGTGGCGCATCCCACAGGTATTGATGAACATGGAGAACTTTTTAGCTCTATACACATACATACATACATACATACATACATACATGCATACATACATACATACATACATACATACATACATACATACATACATACATACATACATACATACATACATACATACATACGTACATACATACATACATACATACATACATACATACATACATACGTATGCGCACGTATACATATGTATATATAAATATATATGTATATATCAGAATGCTGTGCCTAAACTTATCTCGTCTTTCAATATAGAAATCGTTTACAACGATTGAAACCCCAGCAGAATGTTACAAAATGTTTTGCAAGCAAAATTGGTCATGAGGTGATAACAAAGAAAAAGGTTTCGTATGTAAAGTAATAGTAAGCTTTATAATAACAGGTACAACGTTTTCTACTGTTTCGAGTTTTTCCACTGTTAGCAGCGATTCGTCCTAACACACTAGATACGGTTAAAATCATGAGGTGGTGTTTAATGAAGAACTGACAGCTAACAGACAGACAGACTAATAGCGAAAAAATCTGCGTACTATTTTGAGCTGTCGTTAAGGTTGATCTCACTTCGCCTTTCGTAGAGTGACTGCACGGCCGGATCCCTCCAAACCTTTTGAATTGCATCCGAGATCTCCGCGGTGAAGCATGCGAATTGTGTTTCATCTTCGGCCATGATTTTACCAGCACAGCGCTGAATTTATTGCTTTTGAAAGAATTGAAAAGATAACTTTTAAAAGCATTCTCTAAAGGTCTTTCTATCGAGGAATTCAGATATTGAAGTTTCTTACAACTGATTACGTTCTTTAAGTAACGAATAATGGGTTGTGGGTGTTGAAATCAATTTGCTGGGAAAACTAGTCAGAAGCACTTAGTAGACTCTTGGCTTAACGATTAAGACCGAGCAATGAAACAATCGAGTAATCAGAACACGTTACTTAGCTAACATTTTAAAGATGCTGAAATATCTACTATCAATGAATATTCTTGTCAGTGGAAAAACATCTGGTGGTTTAGCTCAAAATAACTTCAGAGCGCAAGTTATCGAGAAATTCTGCTAAACACCTTTAGAGGATCCAATACCAGCCATTCGTATTCTTAACCGGGAAAGTAGAAAATAAACTGACCGCGTTTTCCGAATTGGCATAGGTTGTGCCCGTATGGCTCATATGATTGATTAGTTTTCGTATGGATATTAATATATTATTGTATATGAATGCCTTCCGATGCATGAATTCGGCATCCGAATAGTTCTGTTTGTACAAAAGGCGAATTTGTTCCAGTAGTGTCGTTTTTCCAGACTCGGCTGCACCTTAACAATGAAGTTATCATTATTCATTAGCTTTGAAAAAAAAACCTCCTAAAATGTGAAAATCGTGGAGCGTGTCATCGCTAAATTATCACCCATCAGGGCGAGTGCTGTGCAGTGGTTGGGGTACTTTGGCAATAGATACGCGGTCGTTAATGCGATCCTACGATCCGTGTTCATTAAGCCTTTCATCTATCTAAGGTCAGCAAATTAGTAAAGGACTTATCTAGGAGTGTTTTAGTACTGGCATATGAGTTGAGCCACTATAGGTTACTCTATTTGGCACTTATACGATCAATCACCTCCGCGATGCTTGACGAAGTTAGATGCATGGAGTATCCCTCAGGGATTAATCGAAGCAGAGAATTTTTCTTATTATCGCCTAGACATAACTATCAGGTTTTCTCGAGCTTTTTCCTCTCTGTACCGCCTATCATTTCACATCTGCACTGCGAGTCTCAGCAGCTCCCACATTCGATTTGTTTGCTTGCATGCACTTCTCATGAAGAAGATTTGATCATGCGAGCAAGACGGATAAGGAACAACGTCGTTGGTATGGCCGAGACGAGACGACGACATCCGTTTAACACTGTCTTTGAACTAGAAAAGATCTGTTTTTTGGGACACGCAACAGTAGGATTAATCGGTGGCGTCCGTTTTCTCGTCAGCACGAGATTGGCCATGAATATCGATTCATTCGAAGAACTAACAACCCGAATAGGACTTATACGATTGAAGAGATGTAGATTAATATCGCTTTTGAAAATCGTCGTCGTCTGCGCACCGACATCGAGCTGTGACGAAGAAGAAGTCGAAGCGTTCTCTATGGACTTGGAGAAGTTCACAGAGAAGACCATACAGTCTCCAAGGTCACCACTGGAGACTTTAGCTTTAAGAATGGACCTAGATGAAAGCCTGGAGAACATCACATTGGTACCTATGGTCCGAACAAAACGAGCAGGGCGAGCGGCTGTCTGAGCTTAGTACCGTTAGAGCAAAAAAAATGGATGAGAGAAAGGCATAGCGGGGGCCTCAACGGTGCAATGGGTAACAGTTGAGCTTTCGGAAAAGGTAATTGTAGGTTCGAATCTCGACTGAGCCCTGAGTTTTGCAAATATCAAAACATCGTTGTGGCTGTGTTTCGCATAACACCCTGCCATGAAAATGGAAGGCAGTACACAAAATTCTGCACATAGCCTAGTATACCGTTCATTGATAAAAAATCTCGGGCTGGAACCCAGATTAATAAAGCAGATTTCCTTGTCTGTAATATCAGCTTTCGCACGTTATTTTTTGGTAAATGTTGTTAATCTTCTTAAAGGAAAAAAAACTTCACGAAAAACAGCGATAGAATCGCCTATGGTACTTGATACTTAATACTTGAACGGCCCGTCCTCACTAGTTGTGGGTGCCCCAGCATAATCACCATTTTTCGGAGATTTGCTGACTAAGTCACTGTGGTTCCCCGGAATCCAGAGGACAGCCTGGTCAAGCCTAGATCGTCAACGCGACAGGCAGCCGCAGCCTTTGTGGACCAGAGGGAGATTTGCCACCATGCGACTTTCATACCAGGACGGTGGAGGATCCTGGTATTGGTTTACTCTTAGCTAGGCTTCCTGGTGAAATCGCCTATGGTGCTATGGAAATTTCTGTAATGAAGGAAATGCTGCTAGAAATGAAATAAAAGTTGTGTTGAAAATTTTCCATTCTACTATAGCAAATTAACTGAGGTTCGTTCGTATTACTAAGCGGACAGCTAATAGGAAAAAACAGCCAGTAGAGCTGTCTTCATTTGTCTTTTAAGTGGAAGATAACCTCTGATTGAAATCTTTTACAGCCACCTAATGCTGACTGTCAAACTGATTCTTCTGTAATGTCGCCAATCAATCAACGATTAAATTAACCCACCTCCAAGCTCCATTCCTCACAGCAACGCCCTATTGGTGCTCAGTACGCCTCATTCACTCCGTGAACAAGAACAACATCAGACTTTTGGTGTGGTAATTTTTAAACTGCGTTTAGTGAGAAGATAACAACATGGGATTTGTTACCGCATAGGTTTCCAGTTAGCTGTGCTTCCAGATTGGAATTTGGAATTTGCAACTCTCTCAGAACGTATTCCGTGTTTTACGATGGAGTTGCATAACTTTGAAATCTTCGAGCAATGTTGAGGTGGAAAGCCGCCGGAGGCGGCCAGACGAAGTGGGGTGTCCGGCCATATTTTTAAAATTCTCCAGAATTCCATGGAACCACTAAACTTGTAAAAGCAAGAGTTTGTCAAGCAGCTCTTTTAATCCATCCATCATTTTAAAGTTTGACGGAAAAACAAATCATAAATTACGAAGCACATTGAAATAGTATATTGGCAGTATGGATTCCCGTAACGCGGTTTATTATCGTTTATGAACTGGCAGAAGGCGAATAAGAAGGAAGCAACGTAGCAACAAGAATAAGGGCTAGATGGATTATAGATTTCTTACCTAGTAGTAATAGCCGTGTTATGGTGTAGTCGGCGTTCTGTCCATCCATCGGAGTCGTTACAGTGACATTCCCGCCTCCATCTGAATTCTACAGACACCAAGTCTACTGCTGTTTCCAAATCAGAATTTCACTACGGATTTTCATTATTCCAATTTCAGAAACGATGAGAACACCATCGTGTTTAAATTTTTCTACCATGTCTATCGAAGAGTTTTCAAACCGGCAACAGATTTCAAGAAGCCGATTTAATGAAGACGCACTACACAAGTGGAGGACAAACTACCTCAGAGGACCTGTAGTATCATCGATTTATTCCAAACAGCATAGCATTTTCTAATTTAAGAAGTGATCTCTCTCACCACTATTCAACAGTAGTAGGCAAAATTTTTATCACTTTCATTTTTAAAGACGTTTTTCTCTAAAACAATGATGTCGGAAATTGTTGGCAGGGACTTACGACAGCTAATTCTTTGCAATCGTTGTCAACAGGAACTGGTGAAGGTGGGTGTTCTATCACTTCAACGGTAGGCACCACATTCTGGACATGATTTGATGGCCCACATCCCATTTCATAGGGTGGACCGAAACGTCGGGCGGCTACCCAATCCTACAATTTAACTAAATATCAGTTCTTTGACAAACGAAAAAAGGATATTTTAAATAGGAATCCAGTTCACATAGTTTTAAGACAGAAAACCGACAAAAACATGAGAAAATGGAAGGAACGTTAACTTGATGTAGTAGCGAATGTAGTGGGAAAACAAGACGGCGAAATTAAACGAAGAATGACAGGCTCTAGAAATCGGAAGAAAAAATTTATTAATGGATGGGGAATTTCTTAGCTTTTCAATATTCCATTCTGTTTCACCGAAAACCACGAAAAACTAAAATCTAAACCTTAGCATAGTTTAATACATGAAAAATTTAATTCGCTTAAATTCAGAGCAAATATGGTCAAATTCCTTTTCATCGTCTTGGGACTATATCTCATCCACATATAAAATAATGTCTGTCTACATTAGGCAGTACCTTGCAAAATTTAACAAAACAATGAAATTATAATTGAGTTCAGTTCCAGTTGCGAAAAACACTCAAGTAGAATCGATTTCAATTATGAAAATAAGAACGTGAGTTAACGAAGGATAGCGTCGCAGCTTGGGCAAGGTATGAGAAGCCGATATGTGACAAAATGACGCGATCGTTGTAAGCATAGGTGGAGTCGTTCCGACGACAACATCTATGCTTTGCTCGCACTCTGTTAAGGCGCTTTTCGAGATGTTATAACGAGAAAAAGAGCAGATCGGGAAAAACAAATACGGCTAGAATCTTAGGTCATTCATTAGGTGGAAAACAGTTCATCCACGCCTGCCATTGGGCGCGATAATATGTTGGAGGTGGTTGGACGAAGGTATTATGGCCATATGTTAAAAGAATTCCAAAATTTCATAAACTGGCTAAATGTATAGTAGCAGAATTGTCAAGCACTTTTCAATCTACCAGTCATTTCAAGGTTCGATATTGGAAATAAATCATAGACTATAAAGAACATTATAGTAGCACTTTGGCAGCATAAATCGCAACAGCGGCATTCAGAGGTATAGAACCCTTTCAGTAGCACACTTTAATGATCACCATGATTTTTAATTCTTAGAACAAGTCTGAGAAGATGTGAACCTTATTCGGATTCGAGTAAACTAAGCAAAGGCATCGTTTATTTTTTTCTCTAAAATAAATGCCCAAGATATATTCATACATATATTCGAGGTGCTACGAGTAATTTTAGAAGTCTAGGTTAGATATACAAAACGAGGATCCTCATAAAGGCAATCATTGCTAAAGCACGATAACAAGTTTTGGAAAGGAGTCCGAAAAATGAAGATGAAATGGCGAAAATAACTAAAGCAAAATGCAGTTTATTGATTTAAACAGTCGTCAGAACGAAACCGTTCCTTGTTTCTGACATGACAGCTCACTATGAACAATTTAAACCGTGACAGCTACTCAGAAACAACAGCTACTCATCTGTTTGTTTCACTGGACATTTAGGTGAACCCGCTTCATAACTTGTTAACTCCGAATTTTCCACGGGATTTCTATTCGGGACATCGAATTGCCATTCCTCTATGTATTAACACTCAAATTAATTTTAGCAATGGATACGAGTAGGGTTACCATTTAAGCTTACGAGTCCAGCCTTTTCTCGTCACAGAGGTTGTCGATATTTCCCTACACGTTATCGCTGATTTCATTAGCTTTTCCAGCTGTTATTGTTTTTATCTTCTCCGGAGAGATGATGTTCTACAGATCTCGTTCCATCTATGGAAGCTGAAAGTACGTTTTCTTAGCAGCGCAGTTTTCTTCTTCACGCTGTTGCTGCAGATTTCCTTCCAACAATTCCATCGCCGTCTTTGATTCGTATTCGTATATCCATCAACAAAAACGAGCGACTTCATTGTCTTCCAATGGCGACGAAGGTCTCAATATCTTTTTGTTCAATTTTCTTTTGCTGTGATTAGTTCTTTACAAACTACGCAGTGATTGAAACTCTTTTTTCAGTTTAATGTCCTCATGCTGTCACCAAACGACTAATAACTCTTATTTCTGTCGGTATTTGCGTGAATATTTAAGAAAACGCATCGATTTAGACCTGACGTCAATTTATTCTTTTCACCTTTTCAACCCAATGTTACCCAATAATGAAGCCTAGTGATACGAAGAAAAGTAGTAACAGAGGAAAATGATTAAAAGTATCCCTAGTCCTTAAGCAAGGAATCATACTTCCACTCCATAATCACATCGTTTTCTGGAGCAGGCGATATGCCTAAATGGCGCTTTCGATGTTCCTCAGACAGTTAAAATGTAGCAGACGATAAGAAGGATCTTTTGGAAGATCTCGATAATCAAAATGGAACTGGAAGGGGTACGGTGAAAAAATGGATTAACAAGTTAAGCTCAACGCTTTCATCATCAGTGAAGTACCTTTTTGTTCAATACGCAATAGAACTTTCTTAGCTATAGGAAAGAGCATACTTGGAGACTCGAGAAAAGAAGTGAAAGGCGCCGACACTGCGTCAATCTAATTTCGCATCTGTATTGCTTTCAGCTGTCGTTGACTACAAATCACGATCGCTATTTGCGTGACCGAGAAATGATTTGTTTCCATGGAATGGGGTGTGCACTGATGAAGAAAGAAAATTAGAAGAACGAGGAGACAGAGCTCGGACCATCAAAGTTTCTAGGTTATGGTTCATTTTCAGAGTTACAATATTTGCATTTATTTCCTTTTGTCCTAATTTGCAGCACATATTTTTAATACATCGATCCGTTCCAATCATTCTTTGTCTTGCAGTTCTTTTTTTAACTTACAAACCCTTGTTGAAATTCTCAGAGTCGTTCATGTCGATGAATGCTTTAATGTTGTTTTTTAAAAATAATATCTTTCTATCAACCCCATGTTTTGTTGCTTCCTTCTTTTATCGGCAAGTCTTCGAAGAACGATCGAATTTTTTGCGAAACTAA